TCAACCATTTTGAATATCATTTTTGAATATGTCCTCAAACGGCAGCTCCAGATTTAGTTTCCTCAGAGTAGTAGCAAAGTAAGATGGGTATGGCGCCACAATAGACAGTGTTGATTTCTTCCAAAAATTTCTCAGGTCTACTTTCGCACGGTAGAGATGAAGTGGCATTTGCTCACCATGGTTCAAACGGAGGATATTTTTCAGCAAAGATGGCAGTTTCTGTAATCAAGGGAAGACAACTTGAATTTTTCAAACATCCAACTTTAAAAATAATTTACTTTACGACAAGTAAACAACGAGTAAATCATAAAATTGGGGCTTACCAAAGGGAAATTCATTTTTGGCGTGTGCTTAATCAAAAGCTTATTTCACGCATACAGTAAAATACTTAGATTCCACTCCCACTCTCTTCTTTGGTTTCAGCATTTCACCCCAAGCAAGGCAATAAAGCCACTAAGACTCAAGGAGTTACTGAGTTTGAAAAAATCTGAGAAAAAAAACATTATTAACCTTTACCACACTGCAGGTGAAAATTGTTGCCATAGAATTCTCTCCCTCTACAGCTGTAGGCACATTCTGTCACCTTGAGATGGTTGCTATAAATAAACACTTGTCAACTGTTATTTCCGATATTTTAAGCTAGAAATTGCCTACTACTCCTTTGGAACAAGGTTAAACTTCTGTTTTTCAATGCCATTAAACTCTTCTAGACTCTACGTGAGGTGTAACATCAATTAAACTAACATTAATTTTTTCATGATTTTTTATCAACAAAAATGGCTGCATCAATATAGCCTTTATTCAGGAGGTTTTCTTTGATTAGGATTCCGATGATTTTGAAGACTTTACTAGAATGGATATTGACAGTGAAGTGGTTGAAGATGATAACCACACTAGTGACGTGAAGGAAAGCGATGATGACCACTAGTGACTACTATCATCCATGCCGGAGTAATTTTATGGAAGCTACTGGCAACCATCAATATATCTGATGGTCTTTCTGAAAGTGAATTATTTTGTCTATTTTTAAACAATGCAATAAGAACTTTATTCATCAACGAGACAAATAAATATGAGTCAGGTGAAAGAAAGAGCAAACAAATGCTGGTGTCTTCTCATATGTAAACACAGGGGAGACACATCACATTTTGTCAAAATAAAAGCTTTTTTAGCAATTTTGTTTCTTATTGCACCCCCAGATCCCCACAAGGAGTAATAAAAGTTAAAGTACGATAAATTATTTATGTTTTTTTTTAATGTATTTGTTTTTCATTTTGCGTTTTAATTTTTTGCTTTCAACATCAAAACATACATGCAAAACGTAATGCATTACATCAAAATATTACTTATTCATTCTTTTATTAAGTGTACAAAAATGAAAATTTATATGCACAATACAAAGAAAAGTTATAACAATTTTAAAACAGTAGATGTTCATGTTTTTGCACCCTCAAAATAAATGCAGTGGCAGAGGGGGAACAATTCCAGAAAGAAATTAGCATGGTAAAGTTTATGGAGAAAGAACAATAAAAGAACAGGAATCAAGGAGACAGAAGATAACGATTGACATTGCATTTAAATTTTTGAAAATCAAATCAGACTGAAAAGCAAGAAGATGGCAGAGAGCTCCACAAACAAGAAGTGCAAAAGAAGAAACTGTTAGCATAGAACTTGCAGTTACATCTAGCCATTTTAACTTTAAAATAATGAGGCCTAGCTACCAATCTAGTACTGTTCTTAAATTCATGAACCTGACATACAAAAGAGGAAAGCTCATCAGAACAATTATCATGAAAATATTTATAGAAAAGGCACAGAGAAGCTATGTTATGGCAGTTGGAAAGTGACTTGAAGCTGAGATGTCAGCTCAGGACTGATAACATTGCAGATTCTTCTTTGGCTTTTTAACAAGAATTACATAGCAGAAACACTAAAGCTAAGGCGGAGGCAGCAATATGCGATGCCTAGACGAATGGTAGACTTATAAATATATAAGATAGTTTCTGGGGAGAAAAATTGTCTAGCATGACACAGTGAACCAACTTTCCTAGCAGAAGACCTAGCAATTGATTCAATATAATCTTTCCATGTCATGTCAGCTGAAAACGTTAATCTGAGAAGGCGCAATGTGTCACTTTCCTGGAGGTTAGCATCAACCATGCTGATGAAAGGCAATAAAGTTCTCTCTGACAATTAGTAGAGAATTTTGTTTTGGAGTTGTTAAAAATCAACAAACCATTTCTTGCCCCAGTTAACAAAAGATTGAAGGCTTATTAATTTTATTATTATTACCATATTTTCTGGCTTACAAGATGCACATTTTCTCCTAAAAATACCTGGAAAAATACATGTGCATCTTCCAAGACGAATGCAAGGCAACACCTAGGCTCAAGTAAGCATGGATGATTACCTAACTGGTTTGACTGATAGGGATGTGGATTTATATGTTGAGTCATTACACTATAATGTTAATTATCTAATTCAGCTTTGTTTATCAACAAGTGAAAATTTTAAGCTTTTAACTGATTAATTTAAACAAACATGGCAAAAGTATTTTTTTTGGTTTGTCAAGATCGTGTAAATAAAAATAGAAAATACAGAACAAATAAGTCACAACGACAATTTGATATTCAGTATATCCTCCATTTTTGTGAATTACTTTGAAATTCACTTTACTTAGCTGTTACAGGTATTTCCAAGACTATAAACCTTCCTGGAGCCGAGCCACAATCATAAACATGCTCTGTTTACTAGCAATGGTGGGAACCTTTCTGCTCTTGACTAGTATGTCATTGCCATACAAACAAAATTGGACAAGTGATTAATGTAAACAATACCTGGCGCCAGTATGTGAGGGACACATGGTGAATGTGTTATTGTATGAGAATGACTTTTTTCCTTAGAAATTTCTATCCAATATTAGGGTGCGTCTTCCAAGCCACACTGTCTTGTAAGCCAGAAAATGTATATATTAGGGTGAATCAAAAGTATTTCCATTTTTTTTTTTTACAGATCTTTATTCCAAAGCTTACTTCATACAAAGAGCTAAAGCCTACAATACTTCTATATTATTATTAATAATATTGTCATTACAAGAGTCTATCAAAAGCTTATTTCATGTACACATCAAAAGACTATGACTCCATAATTATTATTATTGGATGTGTGGAAGGTGTAATAGGTAGTAGCTCAGGATATGAAATTGGAGAGCTGAGTTCAAATCCCAGTCAAGTTCACTGCATTTTCTTAAGCAAAAAATAATTTTGGGATAGATATGAATCCCTCCCTGCAGTTATGGGTTAACTAGTAAGGTAGACTGAACTCTTTATCCATGGTGGGTAACAAGTCTGGAACGACAATTATGAAGTTAAAACCAGGTGAGAAAGGGACTAGCAACTTGTAGTTAAATGAGTGTCTATTCTTTGGACGTCATTCATACAATACAAAATACTGCTTGTTCAAATTGCCATTCTTGAGTTCCGCACACTTCACCAACATAAAACCATCCTCCCTTGTCACTGCTTCAGCCCTCTTTTATCAGGCCAAAACCATGGCCAACTAACCAATTAGCATTCTTCGCTTTTGTTCTCAGTTACCCAGGCAAATAGCCTCCTCCAGTCTGACTAATCAGCACATGATTTGCTATTGATCAAACTATGCTAAGCTATACAAAAACCACCATTACAGCATGTACTGTTGGAACAGTCCAACATGAAGAATGGAGATTAATGCCATTTTCAAGGAACAAAATGCTAATGCTACATGCCGTATGTTGAGGTAAGGAACTTATTTTCCTTTGCACCAGATGCAAGCTACTCTGGCTCGCTTGCTTCTATGTGATTGTTCACCACACAATTCCATCCTTTACTTGCTATGGAAACCAGAGTAGCAATGCCTAGTGTGCTACAAGCTGTTGCTCCATATGCCTCAAGGAGTTTCTGGGACAAGTCCTATGGCCTCATTCTCCTCGAGGGGGGGGGTCTATGGAATGAGAGCTGTGGGGCCCATACTTCTGTGGGGCTCTATGGGATTTGAAAACTGTGGCCCCATATTCATCAATGGGTCTATAAGACTTGAGAACTGTGGTCCCATACTCCTTAGCGATTCTCCATAACTTGTGAGCTACGGCACCATACTCTTCAGAGGGTCTACAGAACTTGAGAACTGTGGTCCCTACTCCTCAGGGAGCCTATGGGATTTGAGTAGTAGATTATTATTATTATATACAATGGATAGTATTTTTGTTTTTTTACTAAAAATTATTAATATAATTTATATACTGAAACCATTAAAGTAAAAATCTATTATGTTTAATTTTGTTATTAATGAAATAAAATTAATTTCTTGTTGAAGCCAAATCATTGGCAAAACACCTAATCCTCACTTTCCACTCCAGACACAGTTCAAAAGCACCTATGCAGCCTTGTGGGTGATGAATTATTTTCCATGCTACAACCTCTTTCCCCACAGACAAAACATTGCTAGCCTCTCATTAATCTATCACTATTTCTATGAACAATGTTTTGTAGAACCACATCCCCTAGTTCTACTAGTTCTAATCTTCACAGCTAGGACTTGCCATGCTATGTACAGTAAGACAAACCATCTTCATTCTCTTTGTATTCCATTAGTAAGGAGGAAGTTCCACTTGAACAGCTTCTTTCCCAGAACCACTACTTTGTGTACCGACTTCCAAGAAGATGCCTTCCCAACCACTACAATCTTCACCTCATCAAATTTAGAGTAAACTGTTTTCTTCACTTCTTCATAAACTGTGCTTCTTAGTTGCACATAAAACAATGTCCCCCACCCATTCAGTAACCCTCTACCTTGCATGGCACTTGGGCCTTATATGGGGGTGTGAACATTAATAAAAATATATTTTAAACTTATTGTAACCTAGGGAAGGTTACTGAATAGAATAATCACATGAAGGTTGGTAATGAACGATAATACTTAGAACAAGAACAACACATATAAGATTCACCAGAAGTAGAAGTATTCAACTGCTAGAAGTGAGTCAAGTGAATTCCACAATGAGTCTCCAACTGCAGACTAACATACAGTATTTACTATTGTATTTATGTGAATAGGGACATATCTATTATCGTCTGTATGTATGCTACAACAAAACTAGAAATAGAAGATGAAAAGATCACAGTCCAACCAACTCCGCAAAATCTGACATATCCTCCTCCTTACTTCTTCCTTCTCCCTCTCTTACAACAATCTCACTCAGTAATCCTCTACTTTGACGGACTTTTGGGCCTTGTATTGGGTGAAAAAGAAGAATGTTTGGTTTCGTTTGCTTATTTTACCAGCACATCAACCCTCTTGGATCATTTAATGCAAAGAAGAGAGAGAGAGAAAACCCTCTCATATACACGCATGACCTTCTGAAAGGAAAAAATGAGAGCAAACAAATTTTTTTTTAATTTCAGAAGGGCTTATTTGTAGGGCTGAGAACTTTTCTGTAGTGAAATTTATAAATAAATTAATAATTAATAAATCAATAAGAAGAGAATTAAGAACAAAATAAGGTAAATTAATAACAGGCTTGTTGGTAAAACTGAGAACTTTTCAGCATCCTTTGATATACACCCTTGTGCAAATTAATTGAAACAACCACTTTAGTTTCCTTTCTTTCACCATACAGCCAACTTTAAACTCACTGGAGTAACAGAGTGTAACAGATTTCTATTTTTCCTCAGATTAGGTTATTTGCAGCGGTGTGCTGCAATACAAATCTATTTTCAGAGTGTATAATGAAACTTGTTTGGCCTTGAAAAATATTGCGTCATCTGTGATTGCATCAGATTTTTATCATGCCCAGACACTATTGTCTCGACTGTCGATTAGTTGTCCTGTGGCCATTGTCTGTGATGGACATTACTCCAAGGAAGCTTACAAAAATTGTAATGCTATATAAATACACTGGCAAGTCTTACCAGTGAGCAAATCAAAGTACTATAGGCTGGACCAGAAACTCTCCAGATTTAAATCCAATTGACAATTGGTGGTCAATCTGCAAGGAATGACATCATGGAATGGACGTACGAAGTACCAACATGTGCACTGGGTCATGTTTCATTGGAAAAATACAAAAAAAAAGTAAATAATAATGGAATTATTTGTTTTGTTTCAATTAATTTGCACAAGGGTGTAAGCCTATAAACTTCGAAAAGGCAAAAAACAGGCTGTTGAGTAAGTTTTTTGTATTTTTTTTAATCAAGTAAATTTTAAATTGTCTTGAGTCTCACCTGCTTACCAACTTCAGCTAAATGTGGTTCAACTTTCACGGGTATATGTGAAATTTTTGCAACTCTTGATGAGTAGAGGTAATCTCCAAGAATGCTGCAGAGTTCTTGCGTGGCGAATACTTCAGTACTGTGACATTTATCTACAAACCACAAAAAAAAGATAATATTATTAGCAAGCATAACAATATATGTGGATAAAACAGTGCTGGTAACAGACACAGAAATTAAACTACAAGAACTTCTACAAAATGTTGTGAAGGAAAGCAAGAAGAAAGGACTAAATCTCAATTGCAAGAATACAGAGTGCATGGTTGTTAACAAAAGGATCAGCGTTTACAAATTGAAAATACTGTAACCAAACAAATGCAACAATTTAAATATCAGCTAAGTGTTTTGATGAAGGACAGAAAGTGCAACACTGAAATCCAAAAGTGCATAATAATATAATGAAGTTTTATATATATATTTGGATTCAGAATTATAGGAATTGGAAAAATACATTAATCAGGCCATAAAAAAACATTATATATATATATATATATATATATATATATATATATATATACACACACACACAGATATAGTAATGTAAAATGACTTTGGTGCATAATCCAAGTGGATCCTAGTAATATAAAAATATCTGAACTGGTCAATGTATTTTATTTATACAGTGCAATATAATTAATAATGAAAAAATAAATTCTTTTACTTCATAAGGGAAATAGTTATTTCGGCGGACAATGAAGGTGATAGTCTGTCTTTTCAATCCTAGTGTGGAATAAAGTTCATGTCTCAATTTGTTTGATTTTATATATATATATATATATATATATATATATATATATATATATATAAAGCATTATAGCATATACGATTAATATATTAATTAGAAAATAAAAATTGCATGCAACATAAATGTAAACAAACTACAGGGATCAGTTACATATACGAAGAAACATTGTTGAATAAAATTATAAGAATTTAGAAATAATAAAATTATTTTAAGTTTTCTGTATATAGGGTGCTGAAGGTGAGAGGCTAAAGGCCCAAAAGCCCTACACGGAAACTAGTCTAAAGTCTGCCCAAAGGGCAGCTTTTAGGCTAGTGTATAGTATATGCATATTTCTTATTAATATATATATTGTTTATATTACTACCTAATTTTGAAGTTTATTTTAAGGGGGTCACGTCATATAGAAGATATAAAATTAGCTTGGCCCAGCATATGATTTTGAACAAACTATATATATATATACATTTAATTCAGTCAAAAAATACAGCTAGATTTAAAATAAATATGATTTTGATAAAACTGATGTTTTAACTGTATCCAATAATAATTCATGTAATATTCACATATTAGTGTCGTATTATAAAATACAAACATAGCGAATATGCACCTTTTCCACTGTTTATGTTTATAAGATGTTTAGTTGTTTCTCATTCGGTTGTTTGCTGCTGTACACATTTACCTAACAAGTATAACATTACTTATGTTACTTTTATCATATCTTTTACTGTTTTTAACTCATTTAACTAGAAAATGGGATAAAAAGATGAAAAGAGGTTAAAATTTGCATCAAAATTATGCAAAAATGAAAATAACACTGACATCTCATTTTAAGATATATTTACGAAAATTACACAAAAATATCTTGAAATACTAAAGAATAAATTTATTCCATAAAATCGCCATTGGCTTCAACCACAGCCTCCAGATGACTTTGGAATCTCCTGCAACTCTTATGGGCAGTCTTCTTGTTTAAGTTGGTGAATGCTGCCATAATCCTTTCCTTCTATTCATCTTTGGAGTTACAAGGAAAAACTTCTTGGTGTCTCACTCAACTGCACCCCACACACAATAATCAAGGGAGTTGCAGTCTGGGGAGTTAGGTGGCTATATGTAAGTGGTGATATAGTTTCAGAAATTGTCTGACAGCCATAACTGGGTTCCCCTGTTTGTATGGCATGGTGAAGTACTGTTGCCAGATATAGGGTCAAGCAACCATTCTCTTGATCCAGGGCAGCACTACCTCCTCAAGGCACTTTATGTAGGGTCTCATTGTCAAGTCTGAGGCCCTGTGGGAAAATGAATGGAGGCATAACATCATCATCATCACAAGTGATCACTCCAAACACCTTCGTAATCACCATTAGACTCATCCAACTCTTTCTTAATCCACTGCACTGACCTCAGATTGATACCCAAACATTCTGAAATGTCTGTACTGAAGATTCCAGCATAGCATGCCGTTTTCAAATTTCTGGCAGAGGGAATTGCCTCATGGTGCTCTTTTTCTCAAAGTTGACAAAATCAAAAACAAACAACATGCAAGCGGCGAAATTAAAACTATAAAATGGCGACAATCTACCCATCACACCCTTTATATAAATATACACACACTTAGACATATAAATACACACACATGTAGACATATATACATAAATACATACTCACGTGTACATATATACATACACACACGTGCAGACAAATATACACAAATACACACACATGTAGATATATATACAAATACACACACGTGTGTGTAGTTGAATATATGAATTATGAAGATTTGTATAAAATTTAGCAGCAGTTATACCACATAATGTATCCTATTTATTATACTCACATATGACATCAGAGGTTGGTATTTGTTGATGTTGCAATAAAAGTTGAACCTTCCCTTATGTAGATAAAAATTTTCTCTACCCAATAGTATTATATCTGTATATCTTTTGTCTTGATTTCTGTTCTTTTTTTATTGTTCTCACTCCTTAATAATGTTTCCTTTCTCTCATATTCCCTCACACACAGTAACCCTTTGCATCTTAGTGGCTTTATTGCCTTGCTTGTAGTGAAATGATTTTAAAAAAAAAAAAATGACACTGTTGTTCTTGTTGAAATAGCTACATTACTTTAGAGCAAAAATTCAAATCATCTTTTCTTTCTACAGGGATTGGATTCCTGAAGAAACCGAATGAAAATAAAAATTTGTAAATGAAAACTTGCTCTAGCCGAGCACGGGTAACTTCTTTTTCAAATCAGTGGGCTGAACTAATAAAAAAAAAAATCAAAGTAATTTCTTGTCGGTGAATGTGGTCATTTTCACTACAAAAGATCATATATGTAAGTATCTGCCATAGAACTGGGGAAAAAAGTTGATATTTTTAAATATTTAAATTTAATTTTTCATTTAATATTCCCCCCCCGCCAAAAAAAACTGATACAAATGTTTCTCGTTTTTAAGCTAAAATATTTTTACACGTATGACCTTCCTTAATGAAAACTGCGAATAGTTTAAAATGCTGAGAATGATACTTTCAACAAATCGTTACAAAATTCAGGAAACATTATACCTAACCATTGTTATGTACAGTGATACCATGGCTTAAGTCATTTTGAGATAAGTCATTTTTGAAAATATGTCAGTTTTTCTTAAATATTATATAGAAAGATAAAAACTCACTTTAGGTCACTTTTACTTGAGTTTACATCAGATATTAAAAACAATAAAAACATCAAAACACTAAAATAACAATAAACATATATAAAATCATATTTAAATAAGTTTTAAAAATTTTATTTGTATACTATATAATCATAAAATAATCAAAAACAAAAAATAAGTATCATAATGTGTGTTAATCAGATGTTCTTATTTCAAATTCCTGCCAACAGGTGGCACTCGTGCATTGTTTTCCAATCCAACACCTATTTTGAATTCAGACTTGTTTACATCTGTGCCCTGCTGTTGATGTTCTTTCAGTTATATTTCAATTATGATTTAAAATACATTTTTGCCCATGGCTCAAAAGAAAAGTCCCAGTGCAAGTGCTAATGCTAAGCATAAGGCTATATCATTGGATGATAAGGTAAAAATTAATTATTTTATTCAGAATACTGTATGTACATATCATAAATACTGTAATAGGCAATGGGGAGTGCTTATTTGTAGTTTTTAGTGTGGTTATTTTGACTTAAGTTGTTTCCCAATCTAAGTCATGACCACTGAAACCAATTAATGATGTAGGGTCAGGTATACCAGTATATGATTTAGTCGAATTGTGACCACAGAAATGAATAAGGCAGGTCACTCAGACATTTAAGAGTTATTTCCCTTTGACACTAGCTTCTCTGAACATCTTTACATGAGAGAAAATGTGAGTGAACAAGTGAGAATAAAAAAAAACAAATTTAATAAACGTTATTTTCCTCATTAAATTAGGTGTGTCTTTCAGAAAGCCAAACATGCTATATGCGGCTCAAGGGTCAAATTTGGCCCACAGGCCACAGTTTGCCAATGTCTGCTCTGTCCAATGACCTTATTATGCTCCTTGTATATTCTGTTATGGAAATAAAAAAAGAAGGACTTACTTTTATAGCACATCCATTATTTCAAGCAGATGCACAAACTCTTGAGCTTTACATATTAGATGTATGTCGATAATTACAAGAAGAAGTGGAAAACATTACAGTGTTGAGGTCTGAATCAATTCAGATTCGAATAGCGATCAGGTTGTGATCAAATGATTCTATTTCCCTCTTCCGAGTTGCTTGTTAACAAAACATTGATTGCTTGAAATTTATTGATTTTTTTTCCCTAAACGTGTCCCTGACTTGCTTCCCGAAACACAAAGACCTTTCATCTGATATGTAATTTGATGGTTGCAACGATTATTAAAATTAGAGATTTTTATCTGAAGAGAACGTATCAATTACATTACACCACAGCCTGATCCGTGCAAACAAAGAGTGTCAAGTCCAGAGTTCTTTTCTAATTATGCTTTTGTTAAAGTTCAATGCTTGTGAACATCAAATTGTCCCTCTGGGCCACAAAATGAAGGCCATTTGTATTTCTGAGTCATTGTAGATCTTATCACACAGTAAATCACATTTCTCATTCATAACATTTAAGGATCAGAAACAGTCATTTTTCATAAAATTTTATAAATGAATTTATTGAACCATTTTATTAAAAAATCAATTACATTATTTTTTTATCGTTTCATTTTTTTTTTTAAACAATAATTTTCAGCCTGTAACGAGGCCTAAGATGATTGATTGGTTTATTTTTTTCATGGCTTATCAACCTTTTGTAGGAAAGCCACAAATTTTCTGGAGATAATAATGATTTACTGA